GATAGATAGATAGATAGATAGATGATAGATAGATAGATAGATAGATAGATAGATAGATAGATAGACAGACAGACAGACAGACAGACAGTAGTCAAATGATAGATATAGGCAAACAGATAAATAGAAAGTAAAGGAAGGAGAGAGAAAGAGATTGAATTTTGGAGAAAGGTATCTAAATGATGGGCAGGGAAAGTTAATATCCAACCAATAAATAAATAGGAAATATATTTTTGTTATAGCAACAGAAATTCACAATATACAAATTCTAATTTTCTCTATTTGAAATATTCCACAATAAAAAGCTAGAGAGAGAATGCGAATAGGAGCATTTACAGGAAACTATGTAAAATAATAACGTACACTCTCTGGAGGTAGAATCGGGCTGGGAAGAGGGGCAGAAAGGGAATACACCACTTTCATATCTACAGACTTCTGATTGCTTTGATCTTTTAAAAAATATTACAACACATGTTCTTTTATTATTTGTGTAATTAAAAAAATAACAGCTAATTTTAAAAATAAAAATCGACCTTCTTTTAAATAATGACCTGGAAATAAAAATAAAAATCAATCTTCTTTTAACTAATGACCTGGAAATTAAGGGTGTGGATCTCTAAATTTAAAAAAAAAAAGTATCCAAAATATTTATAAAAAGACCGAAATATTAGTAACCTCCTGGCAGTTTTTCTTCACTCGTAGGCTGGGAAGAGAGTAGAAACTAACATTTTTGAGGTACCTGTGTGGTCGATGGTTTCGCATATGTCATTTCATTTAATACTCAAACGACGTGCAATTCATGTTCTCATCCTCACTTTTTCCTATGCTAGGACATCTATGCTCAGAAAGTTTTCACGACTCCCATGGACTAGGACAGAGGTTGCGACTGTCCAGTGCTCAGGCGCGACTCCCTTGTTTTGTGCGGTTTTATTATTTTATGCCGTATCCTACTTGATTATGAATTGATTTAGTAGCGAGTATCTCCCCCGGGGTAGGATTGGAAATTCCTCTCTTCACATCCTCTTTAAACGAGGTACCACCCTCCTCCCCAGGGTTAGGCAGCCGTTGCTAAGCGTCTCATGACTATTTTACCAGATCTTTAAAATTTACACAGTGATTTCACTGCCCTGTTTCTCGATGCTATTCTGAAAAATAAGTTCGATTAATTATCCCGGGACTTCCCTCAGAAAGTTCTATTGGTGTACTCAAACCCAGACCAGCAGCTCCTATCCCAGTGGCCGACTTCTGACAGGACTGGCCCATCAGAGGACAGGTGGACGTTTGTCTCGTGAAGTAAACCCAACAGATGCTTTTGCTTGTTTGGAAGTGAACTGATGGGCACTGGCTTCCTACTCACCTAAATCTACCCTCGCATCTCACGCTGGGACGATGCCACCTGAAATTTAGGGGGCGATGGGAGATTCTCCTTATGCACTGTCATTTTGTAAGCTAAAATTAAGTCAAGAAAAGAAATTTATAAAAGCCATCAAAACTGTGTGAAGCCCTCACGAGCATTACACCAGGGCAACGCCTCGTTTCATCTAGAAAGGGGAGACGTTTGGCTGACTGTGTCAGCACAGACAATTTCTTGGTTTGTATCAGGGTACGGGGGCCTGGTCAGGGGCAAGATGTCCAATCCTGTCACCCCAAGGAGAATATTCCAGAAGTTTAAACGCAGCAAGGGGAAGTGCTGAGAAAGGAAGTAGGGTGATCTTTAAAAAGACGTCCCGGCTTTCAGCGAGCCGCACGCCAAAGGAGCCGGTTCCAGTCTGGGATGCCCTGGGGCTGTCCCGGCCAGGAGGATGGACGGAAGAAGGAGTTGAGCCTTTCCGTCGGCGGCATAGGGCTGTAGCTATGTCGTGGGAACTCGGAGCCCTCCACCCGGGGTGCGGATTCTCTCCTATCACATTTGCCGCCCTCGCTTAGGAAGCGCCCCCACGCCAACATGTCAACAAGAGGACTTGATTCTTCTTCCCGATTCTACTCCGCTCACCGCCGTTTGATTAAAGCGTGAGAATGATTCACTCCTTCTCCATCCCTAAACCACTCGGGGCAAAAAAGGGGGAAGAGGGAGTGATTCGAGATCAGGACTCTTTCCGCCGATTCAGTCACATTAAAATTAAAGTTAAACAACAGAGTCTCATGGACATGGACTATAGACTAGTGGTTACCGGAGTGAGGGAGAGGGGAGGAGGGAGGTAGATGGAGTAAAGGGGGTCAAATGTGTGGTGACAGAAAGAAATCTAACTATGGGAGGTGAGCACGTTATGCAATATATGCAATATATATATTGCATAATGTGTTCACCTCCCATAGTTAGTAGTATTTGGTACTTGTGATGTCAATAAGATTCAAATCTATCACGTGGATGATAGATCTGAGTGGACAGTGGATAGTGAGTAATGAGACCACATCCTTATCACCTCAAGGAGCCTTTATCTCAGGCTCCATGGACGCCTGTCACAAATCATGGATTGGAAGCATTAGAAGAGGCTACTGTTGGTATGATGGAGTGGATGCCAGTCTGTTCATGAGTTGATCATATCATTTATTTTTGTGGTATGCCCCTGAGAGACTTCTGAAGTGAAAACATTTTCACAGCTATTTCACAGTAATTTTTCAGGCTTCTTGATATATATATATGTAGTTATATGTCGTTATATATAACTATATATAACTATATATAACTATATATACTGTTAAATCATACACCTGAAACTTACTGGATTTCGTTAACCAATGTCATCATAAGAAAAAATAATAATAAATAAATTACACACAATCGAGTTAAACAATTGGGAGGGATAGAATTTTGGAGGGGGAGGAGCAGACGAATGGTGTGCAGGGAAAATTAATATCCAACCAATATATTAACAGGAAGAATGACACCAACAAAAATTCAAGTTACACAAATCGTGATTTTTTTCTCTGTTTGTAACTATTCATAAGAAAAAAATGGGTAAGTTAATTGATTATGCCTAGTCCCTACTCTTGGAGAAAATCTAGTAAAAGTGTGATTTACAGTTTTATAAGTTAAGCACATTAATTAGATTCCATAGTTATTTACTCTGAAAAAAATAAAAAAATCTACTTTGCTCCAAATTGTTGAAACCTGGTAGCGTTTTCCCTTCTAAAACGGCACTTAATCATTATATCATTTCTGCTATTTCTTTGTTCACATTACCAGCTCATTCTCAAACCATCTGTTACTCAGTAGAATGTCATAAAGAACTTATACGCTGTAATGCTAATCAACCCTGCTAGGGTCTGGCAGCAGGTAGAGAAATGAGCCTAGAGACAGTTATTTTTGTTACCTCCGAGTGGGTTTTTATTTGACATCACGCGTGAGTGTGTTTGATCAAAACCAACTGTGATATTGAGTAGTGACAAGAATTCCTTCTAACTGGTGGTAGAATCTTTCGTAAGGATTTTCTCTTTTCTCCTTTGTTTTGTTCATCCACATTCCTATATACGTGGCAGGAAAAAGAAAACCCCAGCGTCCAGCTCTCACCTTTGAGGCCCCCGCCGAAGACGAAAGGAAGGAGCTCTTTGGGCGACCCCAAGGAGCCAAAGTGCCTTGCAGAGACACGTGCGTGTCTGTTTCAGCCGCATCTCCGTGCAGCAACAAGTGTTTTTTAATACTTCACAAAGACATTCAAACTCTCCAGAGTTATTTTCGTATACTGTCAGATAAGAGGTCTTTTCTGATATTGGAACCATGTCCCTGAGCCATCGGCTCCACAGACACCAGAGAAGCTCCCGCGCAATTCTCATGACGGCTCCGTCCAGAAAGCAGGGTGAGCAAACCCAGGATCTGGGGAAAGTGTACAGACGTGGCGTCATCAAATCCGATCAGGGAACCAAGGCTCTGGACTGAGCGTTCTAAAGATTCGCGGGAGGATAAAGATTGGGGAATGCCGTTACTGCAGGGACCGGGGCGCACGGTACCGAGCTTCCCTTCTCTGCTCACCTTGAGCTCCGCGAGCCCCTGTAGCATCTTGGGCGACAGCGTGTTTGGGCCTCGTTCCATAAATAAGAACAAATCTGTTATACGATGGGACGGTTTGATTCCGTTGTTTATAAAATCAGGTTTGGTCCTGAGATGACTCGGGACAGTTTTGACCCTCTGTTAGTCAACACCTTGAGCCACATATTCAGTTCTTTACTGAAGAAAACCCATGGACTATGGTTTCATGGGTCTTAAGATTTTAACCACAAAGGTATATTTATCTTATATTTGTGAGTTCAGTTCTATGTCGGTGCCCACAGTCAAAAGTGAAAAACAGGCACAGCCTCATTCAGTCTTGATACTTTTCACTTGTTTGGGGAAGTAGCTTACATTTTAATTTACAAGAAAGGTCAATTATATTCACACCTAAAAGAATTAGCAGAAACTTTGTAAGTGACTTTATAAATACTAGTAAGGGATTCGATCTTTCTTTTTTTTATCGCTGAGACTTTTGAAATATGGAGCTTAACTATAAACATGCTATCTTTTTCTGACGTTCTGCTGTATACGGTACATTTGTTATATTTTCAGACTCAGTTTATATCTTACGCAGAATTTTTTACTGAGTTATTTTGTGTGGCCAGGCAAAATGGACACCAAGGGGAAATCTTGTCGAGGAGGAAGAAAATTTTCGTGTACGACGTGTGTGCTAATTGTAAAATAAGCTCTTTGATCCTCGAAATACATCCGGATGGAATGAGAATGTTTTAATTTTCAACAAAACAAACACGGCTCTTGGAGGACACAGCGCTACATTTCCCCTTTATTCACGCACACTTGCTTCGGGCTCTCCTCGCATTTCTCTTTGATGTAGGATGCCTGATGCTCTTCAGTACCTACCACCTTTGAATTGTATTTCGAGTTGATATTTTGGGCCTGATAACAATAAAAAATGGAAATTGTCCAGAAAAATCAGTATCGATCTTCTCTCTTCCTTTGAACACGGGTCCATAAAACACTATCCCCAAGTGACAGTGTCTGCTGCATACCTGGGCAGCCAATTAGTAATGGAGATGAGGTGGTTCATTGTTCCTTTACAGGCCATTGGCGCCACTCCTAGACCATAGGTGACCCAGAATAACATTCAGACTCTTGGCTGGTCTCGTGTTACACTTCCATTGCCCGATGTACCTCGTGATACACAACCCCGCCCAGTGTCCCCTGTACTGGGCTAACGTCAAGTTGTCCATAACAGATTTCACTCCCAGGAATAAAATTTGTTCTCATGACTCCCCATGCACATTACAGCTTTCAACCCGTGCATCTCAGTGCCAGGAATAAAGACATTAAAGATATGTGTCAAGCTGTCTTTCGCCACCAAGGTAGACATATGGGTGACTTATGAGGACTTCTCTATGATTTCACAGGCTTAGTCTCATACTATTCCTTGTGAGAAAGAGTGAAATCCCTAAAGGCTGTTGAGTTACACTACTTAAAACTGATAGGGTGGACGAAGAACATGAAAACAATGAAAATCGAAATGATTAAATCAAAGTAAATACAGAGTTTATTTTCAACAAATGTCATAGCTATGTGGCTTTATTATTATAGAATCTGGCAGTCCATGGGCAGGAAAAATTTATCCACGATAATACTAAAAAATGTTGAGGTTTGGCAGTCGATGGTAGCTAAGTACAGCGTCTTAGTTTGATTACTGTCAATTATTTCCGAGCATGCTCAGTTCCCTGCCCACGGTCCAGCATCCAGAGATGTTGACGCTTCATTCCATCTCCCATCCAGTTAATTATTTCTCATTATTCCTTCGATCCAAGTAACAAACCATGAAACACGGACATAGACACCAGGCTTATTGGGGCGTGCACAGCCAAGACCCCAAGAAGTGACTCCTTGTAAAATGTATTTGTCCTTCTCGAAGCAAACCAGAGGCCCTCCACTGTCACCCTGCGCAGAGGGAGGGAAAAAAATGTGAGGATTAAAGCGCCACGCTGTTATTATGGGGTGGCCATCCTCCCGTTTCCCAAGCGTAAATCTTCCCAGTATTTAAACATTTCCAATAAAAAGGAATTTATTAACATATTATTTGAACTTCTTCTGTGTTTCAGTACTTAGCAGGATATATTCCACAAAACGACACCATTGAATGTTTGCCGGGGAAAAAAAAAATCCCCTGTGCATAGCGTACTCATCCCTTCCCGCCTCGAGGTTTGTCAGGCAGAGGAACCCCAAGAACAGTCGTACAGGACAAAGCTGGCCTTTGTCCTACACGCTCTCCATTTCCTCCTGGGAAGGCCACCCTCCCAGTCCCATCCACCGGCACGCCCCCGGAAGGCGTGCGCTGTGGCAGCGATGGGTCTTGCCTGGTCCCTAAGGCCCTTCTGGAGCTCAGGCCTTAGACAGTCTGAGTCAGTCCTCGGGAGCAGACCCAAGGCCCTTGCGGGCGACATTCAGACTGTGGCCTCTAGTCAACAAATTCTTCTCGAATCTGAAGCTTTGGGGCTCAAACGTCTGAGGCGCCAAGGCCGGCCAGCACGAGACTGCCTTGGACCTCTTCATTCTCTCTGTACCTGGCAACTGTCGGTGCCTCCGGACAAATGCCCGGCACAGAGCTCAGTCGACTTGACTCTCCCTTTCAGGATGTCATTGCGATTGCACACTTTGTTCTCAATCACGGGCAGCTGGGCTTCCTTGAGCACGCCAGCGCCAAAGGTGCCTGTGTTTCAAAAGAGTGAAGAAATGGTTACTGGACCCAAACCATGCTCGCAAGGAAAGTTCCAGAAGGACAGAGCCGCAGGGACAGTTCTCTTGTTTGTCCGTGAGATGGCAGAAAACAAGCAGTCAGTTCCCAATACCACTCAAACTTTTTTTTTTTTTAACCTTGAGAACATAAACCTTACATAACATTTCACGTTTCTAAGACCTGGATTTAAAACTCTGGGCTCCTTTATCGGGTATCGGGGTTTGTTTATATTGTTATTTGAGTTTCTTTTTTCTTTTTTTTTTTTAACATTAAGAAATAATTTTTTATTTTGTAAAGAGAGGTTGAGAAATACAACTGCTATTATTTTTATATATATTTTCTCTCAGGCTTTTTAAAAATGTTTCTTCTACTACTTATAATGCATAATTTTATACCCGGATTTTTTCACACAGTGTATCATCAGGACTGTTTTACAATGTTGCCATCGTCATAATTATTATTTTAATGGGAAGTGACAACTTAATGGATACGGAGTTTCCCTTCGGGGTGAGAAAAGTGGTCTAGAAATAGTGGTGATGGTTGCACAACATGATAAACGTACTAAATGACACTCACTTGGACTCTTCAAAATAGTTAAAATAGTAAACATTTTACTACAATATTTAAAAAAAATAGCTATTATTCGCAGGCAGTTAAACTTTTCGGGCATAAGCTCCTCACGCAGTGTGTGTCATTTAATCCTTACCGTGGTCCTGAGAAATGGGCATGTTCGTCACTCCTGCCACACAGGCAACGAACTGAGGCTTAGAGAGGGCGCGTGGTTTGCCCGAGGTCCCCCAGAGAGTGAGCACTGGACCTGGGATTGGAACCCACCATGCTTGCCGGCTCCCCCGGCTGCTTCCAGCATTCTAAGTCTTTGTTCATACAGTTTGTTCCTATTCCTCAATATTTTCTTAAGTCTAATTTCTCAGAAGTTATATAGAAGTTAGATATGGCTCCCCCCGCCTCACCAAATTATTTTCTAAAAGGGTATGTCATTATAAAATGTCACCAGAAAACAAACGAACAAAAAACCATTTCACCACATCCTTACTAGACATATAATAAGTTAAATATTTTTATAAGACATCTAATAATTTAAATATTTGTAAAATATTTGCTAATATCATGGGTGGAACTTGTCTCAATTCATTTTCAAATTTATATTTCTATTGCAATTAGGGAGAGTAAACATTCTCCTATGTGCCTGTTTCACTCATTTTTTGGTTTTTGTGTTTTTTTTGCAAAAAACTTCTTTTTAAAATTTTGTTTTGTTTTACTTTGGCAAATTGAAATAGAACACTTACAAAATCACCAGAGTAAATGCTGTTTTTCCAGATGGACACACCCAATCTTCCAATTTTGCAAGCCCAGTTTTCACCAGAATTTTGCAAAAAATTTGGCATTGCTGACATATGTCAGCCAAGAGATGAGGTCCTATCTCTTCTCCAAAGACTCTGAATAACTTGGATAACCGTCTTGAGTCTAGAGAACTGATACTCGATCTGGAGCTGACAGGGGCACGTAAGATGACTGCCATTTAGAAAGCAGAGGTTTGTCCCGGCCCTGGCTGGGCAGAGCCGCCCCGTGGAGGGAGGGCCTGATCACGGGAGCAGTGGGTGGGGGTGCATCTCTTGAATTGAGTAGATGTGTGGAGGGAGCAGCCTTCTCAAAAATTAATTTATTCAGGTGTCCTGTTCTTGCGTCTGCTTTTTAAGCAAGACAGACACGCTAATGCTAGTGACAAATCCACCCAAGTTGATGGGAAGTTGGTGTGGTCTGTGTGGAGGTGCTGCCATCCTGTGGCCACAGTGGAAATGGCATTTCCGAGGGTGGGGAAGCTGGGAATGACTAGGTGTCCTCTGGGGCCTTGGAGATCCCTGAAAACACCCGATGATTGCTGATGAGGGGCTGACCGGAATGGGGTCTCCACACCCCAACAGCCTCAACACAGGTTTACCTCGTTTTGGAATATCGAAGTCAGGGCAAGTCGAGATTGAAGGGGAGGGTGGGAAAATTTTGACCTCACACCAAGAAGCTGTGAACGGCGATTGATCTGATGTCATTATGGACATATAGAAAATCGGTAAACAGCCTGACTCATGTTTTGTGACTCCTCCTTGTCCAATGCATATACTAAAATTCATTTTAGTATATTCTCAGCGGACGTGGCTGAGGCCAGGAGACACAGGGGAGGGAGCCCAGCGCAGAAGAGTGTGGATGGCGGAGAGGAGGCAGAAGCAGCAGCAGATAGGCTCGAAGGCCAGGCAGGTATGAGCTCCGTCTGGGCTCAGCCACACACAGGCGATGTGATGTGACGTTCACGGGTGATGGTGACGGTGGGGAAGGTGATGGTGACGGTGGTGATGCTGGTGGTGAGGATGATGGTGGTGGTGGTCGTGGTCATATTACAAGCACAGGAGCTGCTGACATGCCATCTCTAAAGCACTGAGTACTTCATACGCATTACTCACAGGGACCTTATTAGGTGGTACAGATGAGGACACCGAGGCTTACAGAGATTCCCTTCCTAACGTCACATGGAAGATGGTAGAATCAGAACTTCCATTCCAGTCCATGTCATTTTAAATCCATACTTTCATCAGCCAGCAGATTTTGCAGCTCACTAAAAATGTCCCTTTTTTGGCTTAATCCAGTTCGCATTGGATTGTCTGCCACTTGCAAAAGAGGGTCATATGGGATCGACTATGTTCCCTGTCATTCACAAGACTTAGCGGTGCCCGGTGCTTTGTCCGCACTTTCTCATTGTTTCCCCACGGTGGCCCTGCAGCCCATTTTCCAGATGGGAAAACAAGTTCAGAAAGAGTTCGTGACTTTTCTAAGTACCTGCAGCTGATAAGTGGGAGTCAGAGTCCTGATGTGGTTGGCTGTCTCCTCGACCACCCACCCGGACCACCCGCCGGGCATGCAGTTCTCACCACAGCCCTGAACCTTCTCGGAGCCTCAGATCCCTCATTTGCAATATGGGAACAACAATGTCGAACTCACAGGGGTTTGTGGCGTTTAAATTTTTTTAAATGAAAGGAGCGGACCAGCCTGGCACATCCATAGTGTTGCTTCATTTGCCAAGTTTCCCTTTATTTCTTCTTAATCCTCACAGGTTCCGAAAAGCAGAAAGAGGGGATTTGGGAATCCAGGAGGTGAGGTT